CTGAAGAATGAATATACTCAGTATATTCAGAAACTGCTTATAACAGAGATTAATTCTGCAGAAATAAAGAATTGAAGAGACTTAAATAATCTCTTATAAAGAGAGGGCTGAAATTTATATATCTATGAATAAGTTTCTATACATAGAAACTTATTAAAAGGTATCATGACTCTTCTCTAGTGAGTCATTTTATAAATACTAGAACTTATGAGTTTACTTATAAGAAAATACTTCTGACTGAAGATATAAGAACTTATGAAAAAGATAGTGAATTCTTATACTATTTATCAGAATTCATAGATAGTATGATTCAAATTATATAAAGAATTTACTTCTCTACTCATTCTGTAGAAATCTTGAGAATAGCTAGAAATGAATATTCTTATAAGTCTCTCTGAAAGTAAGAACATATATGATACCTGTTTTGACAGTGTACTGATGATAGTGAATTACTTTATCAAGATAACACACTTTATACTCACTTACAAGAACTTAAAGTCAAAGAATTTAACTTATATCTTTGTTTATAATGTGATCTGATTGCATGAATTATCTGTGAATATTATCTCAGATAGAAGATCAATCTTTACAGAGAAGTTCTGATCTGATCTGATAACTATACTGAAGATCTCATAAGATCTAAGCACAGCTTTTCATCAACAGATAGATAATCAGATAGAATATCTAATAAGTATATTAAAACAGTATCTGTAGTGCTTTGTCAATTACAATCAGAATAACTGAATGTATTAATTATCACTTGTGAAGTTTATATACAATAACTTAAAACATATCAGTACAGATATAATTCTCTTTGAAATGCTCACTGAGACTCATTCATGAATAATCTTGATAAATCTGTAAGAGTACACTATAGAGTGTGATGATGCCTGTGAACTGACTGAGAGAATTCAGAATATCTGAGAGAAAGCCTGTGAATTCTTGAGAAAGACTCAAGAGTATTAGAAGAGATACTATGACTTTAAGCATATTATAAAGAGTTTTAAGAAAGATGATAGAGTCTGACTAAGTCTAGAAAACATTATTATATAGAGATCTAGTAAGAAGCTGAATCTCTTACAGACAGAGTCTTATAAGATTATGAAGAAAGTTAACTCACAGTTCTATAAATTAAAACTATTATCTGAGTTACAGATATACAATATTTTTTATATCTCTTTATTTCATAAATATAAGAAATTTTTAGAAGAGAATTCTGTGACTCATCACTCTATTTATAAGATACTAGAGAGTGAAAGAGAATATCAGGTCAAAGAGATTATTAACTCAGAGAAGCAAGATTACAAGCTCTGATTCAAGATTCAGTGATAAGAGTATTCTGATAAGATGAATAAGTTCATTTGAGAATTATCTGAATAGATAAGATATCTGTAGAAGCTGAGACATGACTTTTATACTATAAATTCTGATAAGTCAGAATAATGCAGTCTTCACTAAGAATCTGATTATAATAAAGATATTAACACTATTATTTATAAACTCTAGTCTATAAAATGATGAATTTCTACTGAGATGAACAGTCTGCAGTGTATGTAAAGAAAAGAAGAAATCATACTCTTATTAAAGTTAAAAAATAAGAAAATAAAAACAGAACTGTGAACACAACTTAGAGATTAACAAAGAAAAAATAAAGTAAACTTATATTCACATTCTCAATATTTATAACATTCAACTTTCTCACAACTATCAATTTCTTTCTTTAAAGAAGTAGAGAGTATTATATCTGTGATATAGATAATTATTGCATTTGATGTGAAGACTGTCAGAAATGCACAGACTTCAGAGAAGTCAGACATCAGAGTGTGTACAGTTGTAGCAGAATCTTGAAAACTGATTATCTGTGTATGTGATTAGATATTTCTCATGAAGCTATATCTGCTCTTTCAGTTATACTAAAGTATTCAGCCTGAAAACAATTGAGATATGAAGAGAGAGCTTATCTGTCCAGATCAACTTCTGTTGTGAATTCATAACATTCACATTGCCTTAATTACCTAGATTTTGCAGGCATCTGAAGACTCATCTCTCATTGATAATGAAATTGCAGAAATACGCCGCGGCGCGAGGATCATTGATAGAGAACCTAGACATATTCACATATACCTGGTCAGAGATTATGCAGACAGAGAGAAGATAATCATAGATCTGTAAGACTGCAGAAGACACTGACAACATCAGAAGCTTTATAAGAACTGTCAGCTAGAATCTGTAAGAAATTACTTACAGAGAGACTTACAGTAAAGAGTGAAACTACACTGCTTAAAGTCAGAGACTGATCTGAAAGAGATATGAAGTTACTCACTGATCTGAAGATCAGATGCAGTGATAGAGCTGAAAGAGATGAAGACACTGTTATGAGCAGTGATATCTCTGCTTCATCAACTGATAAAAAGTAATCAGAGAAGTTATAGAAACACTTACAAGAAGCTTAACAGTGATCAGAGATTGTATATAAAGATATTGAAATTGAAAATTTTTTTATTCTTAAGAAGTTCTTGAATTAATATACAGATATTGTCAGAAACACTCTCTCTCTATTATCTAAGTGAAAACACTTCACAGATGAATAAGAATACTTATAGTTTATAAGAATAAGAGCTGTTATAGAAAAAGAGAAAAGAAGATGAGATTTCACAGACAGATCTGAGATATTTATACTACTTTAGAGAGATTTGCTTATACTATAAGTGATTTCACAGAACAGTCAGATCACTCTAGTAAATAAAGAGTGATTATGAATTACAGATCTGAATCTTTTTATATGATTATAAAGAGTGATTACAGACTGTGAATATCTTGATTCTATAATTCTATAGAGTTAATGAAAGAATGAAAAATTCCTCACAATTCTACAGTGTTAAAGAATAATGATTTATAAGAATAAGTGAAAGATTAACTTACAAATACTTCTCTTTGATGAGAGTGATCTCACAGAGAGTAATTCATCTGTGAGATGAATCTGTATGATAATTACACAAGAATCTCATGAAAATGATTAAGAGTCAACTGAAACTCTTCTATATAAAAGATATAAGATGAATCTGTGTAATAGTCAGAGAAGAATCTATAAATTATAAAGAATCTTACAGAAT